TTACTTTTAATATGATTATACTGAAAGGTAAGATTTTGATCATAGATTTTGATTTTATGAATCAACCTAAGACAGAAATACTAAGATAGAAAATATAGACAGTTGTTTATTTCATTCAGTCAGATTTTGGTTCAATATACTGTTAATTAGGATTTTATTTACTTTATATTATAATAACCTCGCTGCTGTATAACTTTCCTGCTATAGCATTATTATAGAATATTTAAAATGTATTTGCTCTTCATTTTACTTCAATAATATTTTGCAGGTTATGTTGAAGAGTTAGTGTTCTACTCAATATAGCTTTTGTTTATATAAATTTTAATATCTATTTATCATTTTAGGTGCAGCTCAAGATGAAGTGGAGCCCACAGATACTGAAGCAATCGCCCCTAGAACGCCCCGTGGGGGTCGTTCGCGACGCAAGAGCACCGAAACAGAAGTCCTTACTCCAAGACGCACGAGTCGTAGAAGATCCAGCGTAGAAGAACCTGCACCCACCCCTGTTAAAATTCAGCAGTCCCTTGCACAGATCACAGAATCGGAAACTGAACAAGAGGAACAAGTTCCTGAAAGCAAGACTGAATCAGAAGAACCTGCTATTGATCTTTACAGTATCAATGTATCAAAAACCTATGATGATGATGAACAAAGTGTTACCACTCATGGGGATTCAATGACGGAACAAAAGGACATCAGCATCGAAAGTAAAGAGATTGAAAGTTTGTCAGATGATACCAAAAATGATGAGAAAGAGAAGAACAATGTTGCAGCGGTAGAACCTGTGGCTGCTTTGTCTGATCAAACTGAATCTGGTGATGTAAAACCAGAGATTGAAAAGACAGTTACAAAGGTTGAAGAACCGGAAAAAGAATCTCCTTCAAGGAGGACAAGTTCGAGAAGGTCTTTGGTAGAGGAGTCTTCAACACCCACAAAAGCAGAAGAAAAAATTACTACACCTATAAAAAGTGATGAAAAACAAACAACGCCTGTGAAAGATAAGCAGCCAACGCCAATTAAAAAGGAAGAGAAACAAACAACTCCAATTAAAAGTGATGAAAAACAAGCAACACCTGTGAAAGATAAGCAACCAACACCTGTGAAAGATAAGCAACCAACGCCAAGCAAAAATGATGAAAAACAAACAACTCCAGTAAAGAAGGACGAACAAACTCCAACCAAAAAGGATGTTGCAGCACCTGGACAAAATACACCGAGGAAAATTGATGAATCTCCATCTAAAAAGGATGATGTAATGGAAACACAGGAAGAAATGAGCCAAGAAGATCATGCAGAAACATCATTGGACAAAGCCGACACTCTGGAGGAGGATGAAAAAATGTTACTAGATGATAGTGTACATAACAAATCCTCTGAGAGTAACATTGAAGAATCTGATAAGGACAATATATCAGAAAACACCAAATTCGATGATTCAGAATTAGCATGTGATAGTCCGGTGGATACCTCGAAAGCTAAGGTATACATATTTTTATTCTATAAATTTTGTGCATAGATTCTTTATCTATTACTATTGCTAACTAAATATTCTCTTTTTAATGTTTTTCTAGAACAAAATCTTTTGACATTGACAACAGGTTGCTGTGATATTAAATTGATATTGATAATCGATATATAGATATAATTTAAATTATAATTGTTAAAAGTGAATCATATAGTTAAAACTAATGCCAGCCTTATTTTTCAATTTACAGAAGAAAGAGAAGAGATCAAGGTGGAGCAATTTCCAAGACCAAAAGCAAGAATCGAATGATAAAGCTGCAAAATCAGAAGAAGCAAAATCTGATGACAGGTATTTTAATACAGAATATCTTATTAAAAAAATAATTATATTCCATGACAGTATAATTTAATTTATGTTTATCAGTTTATAATTTATTATGATGTTTACTCAGATTCAAATTGTCTTTTCAGCCGGCGAAGCCTAAAACGAAGGCATTCTCATTCAAGGTCTCCAGTAAAAATGCTCACTGAAGAAGATGAAGTTCAACTGGAAAGTTCCGATACAAATGTTTTATTAAGCTGGTTTGATTCAGATTTGCATCTATGCATCGATCGTGACAATTTATGTGGTGCCAGCCCTCTAACAGCTGGTGCACTTAGTCACGTTTGGGCCGGTGCCAGAACCAACAAAGGTGTTACAAGTGGTTGTGGAGCTTATGAAGTTCTTGTTGAACGCCACCTTAAAGTTGATCAGGTAGTAATAATTGAAGAATTGGTAATACAAATATTTTGTTATTGGTAATATTGAAATTATGATTTTGTTTTATGTTTTTAGCCTGATGAGAGTTCTCATTTGATTCGTATTGGTTTTTCTACATCTTCAAACACATTACAACTAGGGGAAGATGCACTTTCTTTCGGCTATGAAAGCTCTGGAAAGTTTGTTAGTAATAATGAGTTTACAGATTATGGAGTGCAGATTAAAGAGACTGATGTTGTTGGTGCTTATTTGGTGAGTTCTCAATATTCTATATGGCTTTCATTTAACATCATGAAAGTATAATAATTTTATCATTCTTTTATTTTTTAAGGATTTGGATTCTACTCCATGCACAATTAAATTCACTGTCAATGGCGAAGAACAAGGAATTGCTAAAGAGTTTGAAAAGTCAATTCTTGAAGGCAAAGCTTTATTCCCTCACGTACTGACCAAGAATATATCATTTAAAATTAATTTCGGTCAAAATGAAAAATCTTTGTTAAATAGACCAAAAGTAGTAAAGGTAGTGGAAGACAAAAAGGAAGTGAAGGATGAACCTGTGCAAGAGCCCATGGAAACTGACACTTCTGAAGAATCTAAAGAAGGTATGTTTTGAAACGAATCTATATACTAGATGACCCGACAGACATTGTCCAGTATCCATGCCTTCAATTTTTTAATATTCTATACTAGTATTTACCGTTTACCTAAAAATGCTTATTGTTTTTTAAATTACTCTTCACTCCAAAATGCATATACATTTTACTATATGAAAGATGTTAAATGTAGAACTACTTCAAATGAAATGATGAGTCTCAATTCCCACACTACATTAGAAATTGAAGTCTTTAAAATGGTATAATAAATTAAAAAAAAAATAGTACATAGTTTCTGCGGTAAAAGTACAATATTACATTGAATTTTTTTACCAAAAATAGTTGCTCTAATTTTTATGAACTTTTACCACATTTTAACTGGTTCTTAGTAATTATAATATCTAAATCACATGTTTCTTAGTATTAATTTAATATGCATTATTACCAGGAATGCTCCTGGTGTCCTCAGCGCTCGGATGTTATTGTTTTTTTTTAGCACCTTCCTTATTATTTTACCTGTTTTAACAGTTTATTATTAAATAATTTTTGGCTTTTTAAACATTTTAGTTATTTATTTTGGGCATTTTATGTGATTCATTCTATTGAGCAACTCATAGAGAGCTTTTCATTATTAAACATAACCATAATATAACATTGGTACTTCATGCTGGATGATTTTAATTTAATTTTTTATCATTTAAGATATCCAAAATTGCATCTTAAACCTCTCCTAATTTATATTGTAAGAGCTGAATTGTATGCATTCATTTTTACGTTCCCATTTGTTGTTTTAAAGTGAAATTTTTAACATAATTCAAAAATATTCTGCAAAGATTAGAAAAAAGGTGCAAAGAAATTATATATTTCTTGAGTTATAGGACATGCCCTGATTATTACTTAATTTCAAATTTTAGGTGAAATAATTTGTCAAATCCTCTTCATATGTGTATCATTCAACCTGCCATACATTACTGGCACATCTCAGCTGCCTTTTGGCAACAATAATGTAGACGTTTCATTTTTCCTATTCATAGTCATGAATTTATACAATATTCTAATATTATCTAGGCTCATAAGTAAATTGAAATTTTCGGCAGATGATTCATTTTTCAATGCTAAACAATGTCTCAAATATTTTCAATATCGTTTTTTGCAATTTTTTCCACATATTTCTACAAATTACTATGTATTTATAATCACATACATCCTGAAAAATTCCTTTAACAAGCTTCAGAAAGATTTATCAAAATCCGAATAATTGTTTAGAAGGAGTATATTTACATACATCATTGCAGAAGAATTTTATATATAAGATTATGTATGTTGCTTTACCTTTTCTCTTAATTTTTTTTCTATGCAATGAGGATTATAATAACATTGTATTGGATGTAATTGTTGCTTGCAATAAATAGATATCAATTATTTTACATTATTTAGTAAAATCTACGGACGTTGAAATGGCAAAAGCAGCAGATGCTTCTGAAGAAAAAGAAGCATCAAAGGAGGTACAAGGTGAAAACGCTGTGAAGGAAACAAAAGCAGAAGAAACGGTTAAAGAAAATGCAGTTCCAGAGCCAATTGAGGAGGTAAAAAATTATTAAAACTATACTTTTTGAATTTTTATAAATTATAATTGAATGATTGATATACATTGAAGTAATATACACTTTAAATCGCTCTATAAATTAAAGTCTATCACAACTATACATTTCTAGCTTCAACTCAACAATCCATTTTTGCTTTTTTACATTCCTTTTATTACAACATAGTTTTTTTATATCTAGGACGTTCCAGAGTTATTTATTCTGCCCGGATATGAATACATAGGCAAATTTCCACTCGACTCTTTGGTAGATGGACCGCTTCAACCCGACACGAGGAAAGAGTGTGAGGTCTTGATGCTATGTGGATTACCAGGAGTTGGAAAAACACACTGGGTAGAAAAATGGGTTCGAGAGCATCCAGAAAAGAGATACACAGTGCTGGGAACACATGAACTAGTAAATAGGATGAAGGTATTTCTATGCATATATCTTTTAGTTTATACACGGTTATTGATAAATATTTGATGGAATGGAAAAGCACAAGAGATTAATGTGGGCTTTTACATTTTGCTTTGACAAGCCTCATTGAATTACTTTGTCAACATTAGGGATACAGAATATTGATGATGAGGAACTTTGAGCTCACCTATAAATCTGCAAATTATTTATTAACAAGAACATAGCTCATTGAGGGTTTTGATTTTATTTTCTTATGTGCAAGAGATCAACAATAGAATCGATTTTGTTTTTTTGTTATTAATAATGAATTTAAATAATGCTCTAAGTCTAAATCATTTTTATAATAGTGGAGTTCTGATATTTATCCATCATTTTAAATTCATTATTTTCACTGTACTTTATTTCATTCAATGATGTAGAATTTTAGGGATAACAATTTTAGGTCTATTAACAGAATATATTTGAGGCACAGCAAGACTTTGTGAAGTTGTCTCAGATAAACAAATTTAAAGTTCTCATTATTTTAAAAATACATCTCATATGTTCATAATATGAACATTGTGTAGCAATCACTTTACAGGTGAAATCTTTTGTAGCAAGAACTTAAACTGTTTGCAACATATAAATAAAATAATAGCGGTAGGTATCTATTTCATGCCTCTTATTTTGGCATGGATATTTAGAAGGCACTTTTGTAGATGTTGCACTTCATTCCAAAATGATTGAAAACAAATTTTAAATGCCAATGTGAATATATAACAAAGTATTACATCAATATGCATCAGCACAATGTACTACTGTTTGGTGCATTTTAATGAATTTAAAAAAAATCAATAATTTTTAATAATTCTATTCATTGAGCTCTTAAACACTGAACTCTCAGTTCGATGACAAGTATTTGCCTCAATAGTATCTTAAATTTATTGTGGAAATATAAAGGCAAATATTTATTTATAATTTGGATCAAAGTTGAGTATTTGAATATCAGATTATAATGTTTTAGGAGTGCTTTAATTAAATAAGTAAGAAAATCTATGTACAAGGCTCCAGCATAGATGCTTGAAAGTGGTAATGAAATATAAGTACCATGTAAAATAAGGAAATATTCAAAATATTTCATTTTTTATTAGCGTTTTACAGGTTATAAACAGGTTGTAATCTTTTCAACCATTAATATAGTTATTTCACATCAAATTCACAAGATACTAAAATAAGATTTCTTAATGAGAACTGAAAATAGTAAATTTAAATTTTTGATATATTAAATTTATAATCAAAAGTGGACACATTAAATTCAATACCAAGGATAACTATGATTATTAATATATTAATGCATAATTATTTAATACTTTATGTAATAATTACCTCAAAGAGAGCACATTTATTTGTTTAAAAAGGATAATCAATAGTTCTAAAATAATTTACTATTCATAGTGACTTAAAATTATTTATTGTAAACATTGTCTTGAAACTTTCATAATGGATGGTGATGGCTTTCAGATTCTGGATAATTTTTTATTGGAATTTACTTTTAAATTCTTATATTTGTATGATATGCTCAAAAACTAAATGCATTCTTTAAAGAATTTACTGCAAAAATTGTATAATCTCTTTTGTTAGTTGTTTTCTAATGACAATGCTTATAGTGCCTGTAGAAAAATTGTGAAGGGACCGAGCAGTTTCCACAGAATTTATGGAAAACTAACTCTGTGTGCCTGGAGACGTGGCTGAGCGTTATGTGAAAATTTGAAAATGCTCAGTTTGCACCACAATGTAAGTTCACGCTAGTTAGTGTCAGCCGAAAATTAAAAAGTTTATTAAAAGTAATTTAAAAAAAAAAAAGTTAAAAAACCAAAAAATCAGAAATTATTTCAAATTTCAATGATAGAATATGAACATTCTTTTTTGTTCCAAAAAAATACGCCCTGGTGATCTCTGTATGGTGTACGAAAAAGTTAAGGGCTGCCAAGAAATATATTATGAAAATGACATCTGAAATCAACGTCTGGGAATTATGGATATGGATTATATCAAAACTGAATGAAGGCTTATTTGGAGTCTTATTGGATAAATAAATTTATCAATTTCAGGCAACATAATGGATATTTTAAATATAGTTTTAATAGATGTGATTTTCTATGTCTACAGCACTGTGTGAAAACTAGTGATAGTAAATTATATTAGCATAAGCTAAACATAATAAATAGAATGATTCGTATGTGTTTTTATTTTAAATATCTTCAGCACTCTTCTATAGATCTGTTAAATGATTATGCAAAATTGCGAATATCTATCATACCTTTTCCAGCACTTTTATTTTCTAATTTGGATCTATTTTTAATTAATTTGTATTCTGATTTTTTAGACAAATGGAGAACCAAAGAAATCATCCTACAAAGGAAGTTGGCAAGCATTGTTGGAGGCCTGCTCTAAGAGCATTTCAGAATTAGTGAACATTGCAGGCAAGAGGCGGAGAAATGTCATTATTGATCAAAATAATGTATTTAGTGCAGTCCAGATTAGAAAGATAAGTAACTTTGGTGAATTTGTTCGAAAAGCCATTGTTATAGTACCTTCAGAGGAAGAATGGAATAACCGAAAAGCTGCTAAAGGGCAATTCATCACTGAGGAAGTGACTGAATCTGAAATGCTTACAATGAAAGGTATGTCATAACATTAATATTAATTAAAGCAAAATATGAGATGCATTAAATGAACATTTTTCCTCAATACCTCGAGATTTTTTTTTTATAAATTTTATTTTACTTCAATACAAATTTTGCTTTACTGCTTTCTTTTCCGAACTATAAATTGGTTTTAGTCAGAAAATCTTGTTGGCTAATTTTGTTTTCTTGCTGCTTCAAGTCGTACTGAATCATTTTCCAACCAAATTGGAAAAACAATTTGTGTGTATGTTAAAAACTTCTGTGAGGATTTGGAGATCTAGTGAAAACGTCAGAAATGATCATTAGACATATGCACATCAAATTATCCGACATCTTATGATGATTTTAATATGTATTAATTTTGTTTACATTTCTATGGGTTCCTTAACATCGTTTGTCCGTTGGACGGTGACGCGGCGCTTAAGCGCTTTGACATTTCATCTCTATGCAGCAAAAGCAGTGCGATTACTTTGAAAAAAGTTCAAAATTTCCAAAATATTTCGAAATAAAAAAACTTTCAAGTCATAAAAGTCCTTTTTTTTCAAAAATGTTAAATTTCTCAAGAATCTAATTTTTTCAAAGTTTAAAGAATTTAATCTTTTTTAAGAAATTTAATTTTTAGTACGGGAAGTTCCAGAAATTTGCCTTAAGGCACGATGTGATACACCACTAGTTTGATGATATGAAATCAGGAAGTTCATGTTTGCCTTGAAGCTCAATACTACGTACAACTAGTTATGTATAGATTTTTCTTTATCAAATGGAGACATGTTTAGTATTTCATATTTTATTTGTAATAATTATAACAATTGAATCAATTTTATTTTTCTTTGAACTTTTAAACACTAATTCAAGGCTTCTTAAACTTATGTCATTTGCAACCCCATTTATAATTGCGAGTTTTTTGACGACCTCACACAAATATAAAAGAAAGAGAAATTAATATTTTTAGATGATTTATTTATTAGGTAACAATATACATATATTCATATGAAAATATAGTTTTAGAATTTGTAGTAAAACATACAAAAATTTAGACGTGATGTTATTAAATGATTTACTTTACATTAAAATTCTTCGCGGCTCACTAATTTTCTATGCGACCCACAGAAGCCGTGCACTAATTTAATATTGATATATATTGATAATTAATATGGAAACATGTTTTATATTGAATATTATATTTACAAAAAATATAACTTTGATATTATAAACCAACACTGCATTCTTGTTTTCTCTCCTTACAATATAATCAGCTGGAAACATGATTAATATTGAATTAATAATAATTTAAAAGGAATGCGAACATAGTTTATTTTAACCTTTCAATGTGGTTCTAATTGAATGTGAAATGTCATATGTTTTATAACAAACAGTAATTGTGTTAATTATTAATTAAATATTATTTTTATCCAGCCAACTTTGTTCTGCCCGAAGTAAGCGACTACTTCGATCAAGTTATTTTTGCTGAGCTCTCTGAACAGGACTCGAGTGATCTTATTGAGAAGTATAACAAAGAAGGCAAAGATGCCGGCTATGCCATGAGGCCCGCTAAGCGATCCCGTTTCGATAATAGTTCCGATCGTTCTGCTGACAGACACAGCAACTCCAGCCAGGGCAATCGTCAAAGTAGTGATAGGCGCTACAACGACCGTTCCGATAGGAGGAGGAGTTCTGATAGAAGCCAAGGGTTCAATAGACGAGGCGGTAATGATCATAGAAAACACAATGACAGGATGGATCGCGGGGGCGGCGGACCCCCACATAGGTGGGGCGGTGGTCCACCTTAGATTCGGTGGACCTCCACCTCCGCCTCATTGGGCTGGAAGAGGAGGACATAGAGATCAGTGGAGAGGAGGCGGTGGAGGTGGAAGAGACAGGTATGATAAA